AGTCAAAATAAAATACAAAATGGCGACCCTCTTCTACAAACAGGCAAAACAGCCACCTCACCCCACCAAAGTCAGGTAGGGGAGAGTACCACCCACAGTTATTCTAAGAAGCAAACTTTGACCTTAGGACTGAACATGTAGTTTCTTCTATGTTAAATAAAATTTATAATCTAATTTTGTAAATTTGGGAGTGCTTCAAATATGACGTTAAAACGGTTTTATGTCGTTACAAGTGGGTTTTTTTTAACATTATCTAGTATAGTAAAATCGTAGGATCAATAAAAATTTGATGTTATATTAGGGTTGTCATTACATTTGATGACATTATAATTGGGTTAAACTGTATATTGTTTGTGCAAAATAAAAAAATAATTTCAGACGATACAATAGCCACGATTATTTTTTTAAAAAACGGGAACTTTTCGTTACGCATCGACAAAAATTCAACCTGGGCCGACACGCAACAAAGAGAAATTTTGAAATTAGATAGGCTAATTGTGGTCGTGGCTGGTGAAGTTTGAATGATCGCACCCAAAAGCAGCAATATCAAAGAAGATAGGAGAATGAGAATGAGACCTGCCATGAGTATCAAAGTGATTCCGTCTCCGAGACATAGTCGTGTCCCAAATACAGTTTTGACGTTTTACTTGTTTAGTTTTGATTCACTTACATTCAAGAAACTCAATTACTTCTGATGATATGGCTCAGCTTAAAATTAGCTACAGTACGTTGCAAAAATACAATAATTGATTTTGCTCATTGTTAATTTTCTGTAAAGAAGTCATCAGTTTTATTTAAAGGCAATAAAGAAAGTTAAAATAACACAATTAAGAGATTGTTAAGGAAAATTTGAAAGTTACTGCCATATAAACATGCATTTCATCAATAAAAAGTATTTGCATAGAAATGACAATGTACAAACTTTGGATATATTATATTATTTTTAATAACATAAATAATTCTAATTACTAAAAGGAAACATAAAAACAAAGTACTTACATTAGCAGACTGAATAGCCAAAGCATCACATCCCAGAATTGCTGAAAGTGGACCTTGTTTTGGTTGATATGTTTGCAGAGTTTTATAAACTGTCCCTAAACCCAGATGACCTACAATCTGAGAAGTCTGTTCACTGACTAATGTATCAAGATGTGCTTCCATCTAAATAGAGCAAATTAAATACTGGTAAGCATTTTAAAAAATATTCTATATAATATAATAAATTATTTTTATATATAATTACTTGTGCCTGTAGCATTTCTAATTGTTGATCACTGAATTCATACACAGTTAATGAGGAATGCATTAAATGAAGACAATTTGTTAAATAAACAGCCATATCAACAGGTGCAAGCTTAGATGCTGACATATGACACATTTGTAGTAGTGGTTCTATCATTGTTGTCAAAATCTGTTAAACAATGTCTAATTATTTTTTCATAAGTTTACAGATATAATTATGAATGCAATTTCATTACCTGAGGCACATCTTTCTGTCTATCATCAATAGATATGAGACTACCATCTTGACAACATAATATTTCTTTTAGTAATGCTAAAGATTGTGTAAGAGATTCTGGAGGCCCTAAATCAGCTGGAGGAAGTTCAATTTGCTCTAAAAGTTGGCTACAATGACATGTCATACTATTATAAAACATTTTTCTACTTAAATCTTGCAGTTCTTTCAATGTATTTAATAACTGAGACTCTACAGTGACAACTTGGCTGAAAAATAAAATTTTCAATTATTACACAAATTAAAATAATATTCAAAAATAAATGAATTTAAAAAATTTTATCTATATGTATAGAAAAAATCATCTCATACAATTTAAAGCTATCAAAATAAAATATTTTCATTTCAATGATCAACTCAAATTTAATAAAAACATTAAAATTGCATACTTAATTGTTTGGTGATAGAATTTTAACAAACTGCTCAAACAAAAGAGAGTGACTGCTCCAGGTTCTGATACTGTTACTTGTTCTACACGAACTTTTAATGGTCGACATAATCCTTCTGTTATGTGAGATAAAGCCTGTTGTATGTCTTCTTCCAAACCTATATTTACATAACTTTTTTCATTAAAATTAAAACTGAATAAGCTTTAATTTTACAAGAGAAATATATATATATATTTTATAAAATTATATAATATATTCCTACCTTAGTTTAAATTTAATTAGTTAAGTTTAAATAGGTTAAATGTACTTCAAATTTTTACTTCATTTTTATTAAGAAAGATTATATTATAATTACAGTATATTTCCACAGATAAGACGACATTTGAATCATAAAAAAAAGGCCCCCAAAATCTAGGGTCATCTTATAGGACAGATATATAAATTTAAATTATTTTTTTGTAAATTAAGACTATTATAAAAAAATGAACAAACTATAATTATTTACTAGTAGAGAGTAGGATATATCTACAAAATAGAATAGCCCATACAATGTTTTTGTGAATAGTGAAGGTCATTACCCAAATGCCAGAATCAGTACGAATGTTCGCAAAAATCACAAGGCAGTGGTGCCAGATGCAGAAAATAAAATTTGTTCATTCAAAAAATTACGAATAGGACAATTCTGTATATGCTATACAGTATTATTATTCAGATGATGATCACTGGTCTAAACTAAATTCATAGGCTGTAGATAGTTGAGGGTCATCTTATAGGACAGATATATGCTAAAACTATAAAACTTCAACGAAAATTTATACCTCGTCTTATCTGCAGAAATATACGGTATATTTTTAATCATTTATTTTTAATTGTATAGACAGAACATCAATGGATAAAATGTGACATATATCATCAGTGTATCAATATATCAGTCATTTGACATCAGTGAACATACAATAAACTCCTGTATAACACAGTCCCCTATAAAGTGAATTTGTATAACAAATTTGTCGCATTATAAGATCAGATGATTTTATACAGTTTAAAGCTGCATAAAATCATCTGATAATGCATGTCTCATATAATACAATTTCCTATGATGCGGAATGTGTCCCCTGCATTGTACAGGAGTCCGCTGTATTCATGTTTATCGTAATTATAAAGGTGATTTGTGTATTTAATTATCAGTAAGGATACAAACTAAATAGTATAGTATAGTAAGATTATACATTAAACAGTATATTTTGAAATAANAGGACCTAGATACAAAAATGATGTTAAATATTAACTTTTATTAATAATCTTTCATTTAATGTTTACTCTTACCTCCTCTGGTTAATGCATCAATAAATCCTCGAACAATTGCAGCCCTACGGGCATTTGCATATTCATCAACAGAATATTTAAATAATACAGATCTATCCTGCAAACTTTCCATTGCTTGGCAAAGAAGTGGGTTAATGTCAGGTGATTCCACAATCAAAAGTCGACATTCACCTACAAAAATATTTATTTAAAAATAAATTAATTTTACAGATTAGATACAAGAATAAAAATATAGGAAAAAGATTTAGAAAAATTATATACAGGAACCATTTTTGGAAATTCAATAAAAGAGATAAAGAATGATATCTGAAGCATTTTCATGTGCCACATAATAATGGAGATTTGTTCCAAGAAACATGCCATTAAGTACATCATACAGTGTACTTAGACAAACCTGTATGGCAATGGTTCCCAACCAACTATATTGTTAAGTCATTCTAAGTGTGCTGTGAAATAAATAAATAAATTGAAGTGACAAATTTTAAAATTTATAAATGAAAACAACAAAGTGTACTTCTACATGTTTCAAATATATTTCATAAGTTTTTTCTATGATAGTTTATGGGAACAAAATATTTGAGAGAGCCACATGATCGACCTGTTGACTAGTCAAATAAAATTTCATAATAAAGTATGCTGCAACCTTTCCATAATTGTTTGTCCAATAAATTTGAGAAACTATTGTTGTATAGTATAGCTTACTATTCAAATAGACTATATGTAACACAATAGTAAGTATGTATTTATGTATCTAAACATATTTATGCATAGAAAAGGTATAGGTGACTACATATTTTTCAGCTCCATTATAATATTATGAGACCTCCATTGTATATGTGGTTTGTCATTAAAACATTGTTGAATGATACATATCTGCATTAAAATTACTATTTCATCATGAAACTTGTAAAAAATTATATAGAAATTTTAAAAAATAATTAAAATAATTTTAATATTAAAAGACAGTGAAATAAAATTATAGGAATAACTCACAGAAAAAAAATTGATTTCTCAACATTAATTCTAAATCTATTATTACTAATTGATAACTTACTAATTACAGGAAATTACAATTTGTTCACTTGAGAAATAATGCTTTTTCTAATATTAACATATTGATTGAAAGTAGAACTTTCAATCAATAAATATGTGTTTTTTATTTATTAAATATTTAGTAAAAATTAGTATAAGAAGTGTTTGAGGTTGTTTTTCTTCCTTACTTTTTTCACTCCTAAGAATTTATTAAAAGTATATTTAATTTATTCTAATGTTTTAAAATTAAAACCATATCAAAAAATTATAAAAATTGTTGGTAATAATTTATAATTTAAAATTAGTAATGTCATATTTCTTAATCATAGTAAAAGATTGAAGATCAAGTACAAGTTGATCACATTTATCACATTAAAATAATTTTTAATATCTATTCTCGGATTAAATTTCTTAAAATAATTAGATATATTCTTTAATTGATATCTCAAAACAAATAATTTAATATGATAGTTTAAGTGATAGACCTTTATAAACTTTTATTCAGTAACTATTCCTATTCCAATTATTAATAATTTTATCCTATTGAGACAAAATATGCAGATACATGCTTTGAAATGATTTTGAAAAAGAAGAAGAAAAGGAAAACTATTTATAATGATTTTTTTAATTGAATGAATATATAATATCAATAAGAACATACTAGAATTACTGTACTTTTCATATATTTAGTAATAAATGTAAAACATATAACAGCTTGGCACTATATATACTGCTCCAATATGCTATGGCACCCTAGATAAATACACAGAGCTAAGGATTGTCAGTATATCTGTGAATTATATCATTAAATGATTTCAGCAAGTAAAAAGTGCTTTATTTATATAAAAATCTA